ACTATCCCGGGCCCGGCGGGCCGTGCCCCCCTGCACGGCCTGGGCAGGTCTCCTGCCTTGCTTGCCACCAGGGTCTGGGTTCAGGTCCTGCCTCGCTGTTCCCACCCCAGGACCCGGTGCTGAGAGCAAGAGGAGCCCTGCGGGGCTCTGGGGCAGGTACGGCGGGGCCCTGGCTGCTGACGTGGGGCCCCGAGGCGCGGGGCCCGCCCCCTCCTCCGGGAGCAGCCTATCGGGGCTGATAGCCGCCGGGCGGCTCCCGGCTCGGGGAGGGGGTGTCTGCGCGGCTTTAACCCTCCCGCTGCTGCACCCCGGGGACTGGCACCCGCCCCCAGCCCCCTGCAAGCCACAGGCCCCGGTGCCGCGGCTGGGGGGCCCAAGCCCCCTGGCAGTGGGGGGGTGGGGGCTGGGAGGTGTGGCGGGCTGGGTGCCAGCAGTGCCTGGCACGGGGACCTTTGCCCAGACGGCCCCACGCGCTCTGGCAGGAGTTCAAGGACGATGTCGTGGGTGCGAACGCCACGGCTTTTTGGAGGGCACCTCAAGGGGGAAGGCAGCCTTGGCCCAGCTAGGCCTTCCCCCCCCCCCGTGCCAGGGCTGGACTCGAACCCTTGTCACCAGTGCCCCTTGCCCGCTGCCCAGAGGGGGCTGCCACTGGCTTCAGACAGTGGGGGGCCAGCAGGGGGCGCTGTGCTGGGGGTGGGGTGGGGGGTGCTGCACTGCTGGAAGTGCCCCCCATTTGCACATGCCCTGGCCACAGCCCCTCACCCTAAGTGCAGGGTGCCCCCCAGCTCTCTGCTGCACCCCCCAGAGGTGGCTGCACCCTGCGGTCCCCACGGCAGTGTGTGCCAAGCAGGATGAGGCCCTCCCAGCTGGCGCCTTGCAGCTTGTCCAGGCCCCTGCCCCTGCCCCTGCCCTGCCGAGCCCTCCTGCTCTGGGTGCCTGGGGCTCATCCTGCCCTCCCCCCTGGGCCAGCCAGGCTGGGGCGTGGGGCAGCAGGAGGCCAGGCCCTGGCAGGGCTGGGGCGAGGGGCCTGGGCTCTGCAGGATGGGGCAGGGGAGAGCAGGGGCTCCAGGGCACCCTGCAGGGACCGGCTTGGGTCTCAGGAAACATTTCTCCACTGCTGGAGCAAGGAGGGGGGGAGATGCCAGGGGAGGGGGCTCTGCATCGCGGGAGGTGTCGGGGAGAGGCTGGACGGGCGCTGGTGGGGCAGGATGTCTGTGCTCTGCTGCCGGGGTTTCCCAGGCTGCTGGGCTGTGCTGGGTGCCCCCCATCCATGTGTCGGGGGTTTTAGGGCGCTGGGTGCTGCAGCCCAGGCTGGGGCTGGGCCAATGCTCCTGCCGGCACCGACCCCGCAGCGTCCTGGCTGGAGGGTCTTGCCCCTGGGCAGGAAGAGATTTCCCCCTGCTCAGACCGGTTCTCACTGGGGGGGGTTGCTTTCCTCTGCAGCGGGGGCACGGCCTGGGCCGGGGGTCTCTGCAGCGCCCGTGCCCCCCCGGCAGCAGCAGGACGTTGGTGGCTGCAGCCCCCCTGTATCCCGGGGGCGGGGGCGATGCCTGGGGCGGTGTGGTGTGACTCCAAGGGTGGACACGGGGTTAGTCAGAGAATGGCAGACAATGAGGGTCAAAGGGCGCCGTGGACTCATCTCGTCCACCCCCTGCTCCAAGCAGGACCAGCCCCGACTGCGTCGTCCCAGCCAGGCCTGTGTCTCCCCGGGGCTTCAAACCCCGCAAAGAGGGAGATGCGCCCCCCCTCTGGGGAGCCTGCTCCAGTGCTTCCCCCCACGAGAGGGTTGTTCCTGGTATCGAACCGCAGCTTCCTTTGCTGCAACTTGAGCCGGTTGCTCCTTGTAGGACAGGTCTGGTCCTGTCTGGGGCAGGGCTGGGACTGGATGTGCCCCCGCAGCTCCCTGCCCCCCCCCGCGGCTCATGCTCTGATCGCGGGGGTGCAGCTTTGGGGCGCTGAGGGACCCTTGTGCCCCCCGGCCCCACAGCAGCAGGTGCCCACAGTGCCCAGGCCAGTCCCAGCGCTGCCCTGCCTGCTCCTGGCTGGATCCCAGCTCGGCCGCACGGCCGCCTCCCCCCGGGGTGTCCGTTTCCTCTCGGCTGTCTCGGCACAAAGCTCCTTTGTCCCCGTTCCGCGGCGCTGAGGAGACCCAGGGGAGCCTTTGCGCTGGCTGTGGCACGGCAGGTCTGTCTCTGCCTCGGTGCCGCGCTCGGGGCTGCACACGTGAGGAGCAGAGAGACGGGCCCTGCCCCGA